GTTAAACATTTCTATACATTACTCTTGTAAATCATTCATAAAATTTGAAGCATTTCAACAAAGATGCAAAAGGTCAATCTCAGAAAAAAAAGATGAAATGACATCAACATTTCGATAGATAGATAGATAGATACATATACACAAGTTAAGCATTCAAACATCCGTTGTAATGAACAACAACACGAGTGATGACAATCGAATGTGCCTGAACACTAAATTACAGAATATCTCAATAAAATCTGTGAACCATACAGTGGATGCGTACTGCTGAGGAGTCCCACGATAGGACAAAATGGCCGTCCAGGGCTTCCAGGTTTTCCATGGTGGTCTATCTTCAATTGATTCATGATCTGAACTGCTGAAATTACTACAATCTCCACAAAACCCCTTCTGATACAGTAAATAGTTAATTTGCAAAATATCAATCCATTGTCTCAAACTTGACTATTCCTTTTGCAAATATCAGTCCATCGTTTCATATTTGACTGTTCCTACATTTTAATATCAATTGCTTTCCGTTCTCGTTGTTTCATTCTTGATCTTCTACAGAAATATATAGTCTCTTCCTGACCATCGTTATATACTACTTATGTAAATATAAGTATCTCACATCACACAATGAATAATTATGGATGCCTATAATTAGTGTTGAGAAAAATAGTATCATTCGCTCTTTATTGATCAAATCTAAACATTAAATAAAGTTCAAATCATAACACTTATGATAAAGCTTTATTTTAATAGAAAACAGTAATAAATGATCATTAAACTAATTAACTCATCGGGGTTATCATTAAGAACCCATTTTGTAAAGTTATTATCTGATTAATATCAAAATTGAATAATGGAAAATGATTTGATGTTTATTAAAAGGTAAATAACAGTTTTTCAATATAAAAACAAAACTCTACTAAAGTTTATCTGAGTAAAATTATATAAAAAATCTAAATAAAATTTGTTACTAAGTGCAACTGATCAGTTTACTCATTCCACAAGCTAGTAACTAACTGGACTCAGTTACTAAGTGGATAATGTGATAGCTTTTTAAATTAACGGCACTGGGTTAAATTTCTAGAGTAAATATCAATTGTGGGATGCTGGTACATCTAGGCTAACGAGTCTCAAAATAGGACATAATATACCTCATGGATTTCACTGCTAGTTATCATACATCTTTGAATATATTATAAAGTTTTCTAAAAGGTAACACGAACTAATACCGGATAATAACCTTGACAAATTCTTACTACATTGTTTAGTGTCTACTTACCAATTGTTCTGATTTGATGAAACTGGATCTTATGTAAATCAAGAATGTAATGTTTCGTAGATTGATTGGTGATAAGAGATTGTTGAATTGGAATATAGTTTTCGTGATGCAGTTCATGATGCATTTATTAAGTACTTAAGCTTGATCTAGGAATTTACAACGCCGTATATTTATCATCACAAGCACGAACAAATGAAAAGCTATTTAATTTGTCAGTGAACAGGATACATATATACTTGTAAGTTTTTGTCCAATTATTTACAAGCTGCGACAACCACTGGTGATAGTAGTCAAGCTCATTTAGTCACAAATAACATTACTAACTGGCACAAATAAGTGCCATTTAATATTTTCATGAAATATCACTACGATGGACTGTAAAGATAATGTAAACAGCGAGGATTCAAAGTAACTGTTAGATCAGCACAATATAAACAAGATGAAACATTTTAAATTAGGATCTGAAAACAAGGCATATACAATGGAAAACTGAGACTTAAGATCTCATATTGAATTCTGAACAGTCATCTAATATCCCTAAGAAATGCTCTTTTTTATCACAACAGGAACATTCAATTGGTCTCCACCCGCCAATTCGCCTCACTTCAACAGTTAGTTATTTCATGAACAGTTATAATATTTTGATTCAGTCTCATATAACCTTCCAATGTACTCCTATCCGAAACAACGTTGCGCATCGAGTAAGGTGGTGCTTAACATATGTTAAACCCTTTTAACTTCAAAAGACGTTAAACTGAAGTTATGATTTTTCACTTAAGCATCAAGAATCCTAATTAAAGTTGACCATCACCAAATATGCTTTTACTGATAAAAAAAGAATGTTAATTTATAAATACTATTATTCACACATTGTAATAATCTATACCTGAAATGTTGTACTTTCCATCTTATAAAACATAGCATTGTTTTATCAAAAAAGGAGTCTTGAATGATGTTAGGTAATAAATCATTGCACTATTTCTTAGTAAGAAAGTTAAACTTATGACGACTGCAATCACAACGACAAAACGATGTCTTAAATAGAGCTAGACAATTATGTACATCAATCCTACATAATTAAGCGCGTATGACACTTGTCAGGATAATATTGGAAATGTCATAGGATAGTACACAAAATAATTCCAAAAAAAGAAGGAAAATAAATTTATAGCAACAAGAAAAGTGATAATTTATATGGTTGCTAATCATTCACAGTTTACAAGTTTTAACAAACACTAACTAAATTGTGAAGGTATTAAACATCTTAAAGTGTCGTTCCCTAATTTACCACATGAATAATGGAATAAAATATGTAAACATTTTAGTCAACTAATTTGGGTTTATGGCTAGTATTTGCATAAAGGAAATCACAAATATATAGCAGAAAGAATTTATCAATTTTTCACAGGTATATATGTATGTCTAAGTTTGTAATGGATAACCCTAGGAAATAACCGTAGTGCTGTCTGAATGTAATTACAAATTATCCAAACTAACAGAATACTATCAATGTATTGTTTCAATATACAAAACTCTTAACCACAACCATCATCACTGATTTCTTATTATTGAACTTCATTTATTGAACTGGGTAAGTACAGGTTATATCCAAGTATCATTTATTCAAAAAACAACAAAGTCGCATAATACTGTGCAGTAAATTATTAATAATTTTTAATGATTGAGATCGTGAGTCAATTGAAGCTAGAGCATCATGGAAAACCTGAAAGCACTGGACGGCCATTTCGACCTATTGTGGGACTTCTCAACAGTGCGCATCCACCATATCGCTTCGCGAGATTCAAACCTAGGACCTATCAGTCTCGCACTCGCGCCGGCATCTAACGATGCTAATGTGGAACTTTAATTAATCCACGAAATCGAGCGACATATCCACCATTGTCATCGGTGAGTTACTACCTTACAATAGACGTGGTTGAACTCCACTGATCACTGCTTCCCACTAGAACTCCAGGAAATACCTCTCAAAGCCGGTCACTAGTGATCATATATTGATTAATAGCCTAAATCTATATTAGCATATAGTGTATTGATTACTTCAGTCTAGTGATAGCTTGTACATTAACTTTAAAATAACGAAACTATTTGAAGTTAGAACAATTTAAAATAAAATATCTATGAACCTGATATTGAAATCAAAAATTTATCACTGGAAAAATAGAGTCTGTCATTATCCTGACTCAAATAGAACCGACGCAGCTTGTATCAAGAAGAAACGAAAAGCTTATGAAAGGCAAAATATTTTAAAACTGTCTGAATATATCCAGTTCTAAAGGTTGAATAAACAAATAATTTGTAATCAATTAAACTGAATAGATCTTGTCGGTGAATAAAATTTACCAATATTGTAAAAATAAAAAACACACACTCTGTGTATAACATGAAATTGAATAACCGAGTTATCTGTTTACTTCATCTTTTCTTTCTTACTTTGAATATATTTATAAAGGACTTCCGTTGTCGATCATTGTGTGTAACCAGTTTTCTTTATAACAACCATTGTATTTATTTATTTATTTCTAATGAAGTTATTTTAGATTACAGAAGTATGTGTTTTCCGTAAACTGTTAGCATTGTGGATTGATTTTGATTGAAAAGGTAATAAACAGTAGAAACATGAAGTTCAATGAAGGGATCTGTTTTCAACGAGTTTATTATTAAGCTGTACAATCGTATATATATGAAAACAATTATTTTGTGTTAAAGTAATAGTTACGTGAGGACATATGAACAAGGAATAACCATGATGATGCAATCGAAAGCTTATGCAATGCGATTAATAACAATAGACTTAGTATTACGTTGTGAATGTAGTAAGATGAATGAAATATTTTTGTTACAATCAATAAAGGTCATTAAAGGTAATAGAGGTGTAAAAAATAAATGAAGTGATATCATGAACAATTATGAATAAATTCATGAGAATATAAGACCGGTAAACGGAGAGTGCAATAGGAATAATGATAATAGATTGAGGCCAAGGTAAGGATAATGATAGAACATACTTCTCTTGTACACACATTTCTGGCTTATGATCATGGATAGTGAGAGCTTCTGCTATTCTAAGGAGTTTGATTTGAAGAAATCTAAGTGAGCTTGAACGAATCATATAGACAACCTTAAAATCAACCTGTGAATCGGTAATATGATTAAGGTCGAATAGATATTAAAAGATGGAACTTCTAATTGCATTACTATCACCCTTGTAGAATCACACAGGGACATGTTCCCGTAAGCGAGTAGAAAGCAAACTCTGGCTACGGCCAATGTACCTTGCTCCATGAGAGCAGATGAACTGGTAGATGCATATGGAGGCGACAAAGCGGGGAAGCCTATCATTTATGGATATAGAAAACAAGTGACTACTAATGATCTTTATTCTCAGTTTTCTCGTTGCTGTAAATGTTTTTATTTATGTATTCACGATACCACCAAGTACTAAATTTGAGACAATCAAGCCTCTTATTAGAATTATTACACTAAGAATGCAGAAATATTTTTCATTGTCTCACATTTTTATCTTTTATTTCTGATAATGTACCGGTAATACAAAGCTAATAATTATGAAACTCCGGCTATTGTTATATTAAGATATTAATAATTTACCTGTTATACAGTAAAAAAATTCATCTAAAAATATCGTTCACTGTTAAAAGTTAGCATCTGATAACATAAATTTGACGGTCAAATGCTCACCTTAATAAAAGAAATGGAAAACAAAAAAAGTAAATATATTAACAAATTGCTAAGGACACCCATACAAGGACGAAACGGTTGTCCAACTACACAATCAGAAACATAAAAGTCACAAAATCCCACACCGTGATAAAAAAGATGATGCATGTGTCTTTGCATATTTAAGCTTCATCATCATCATCATCATCATCATCATCATCATCATCATCATCATCATCATCATCATCATCATCATCATCATCATCATCATCATCATCATCATCATCATCATCATCATCATCATCATCATCATCATCATCATCATCATCATCATCATCATCATCATCATCATCATCATCATCATCATCATCATCATCATCATCATCATCATCATCATCATCATCATCATCATCATCATCATCATCATCATCATCATCATCATCATCATCATCATCATCATCATCATCATCATCATCATCATCATCATCATCATCATCATCATCATCATCATCATCATCATCATCATCATCATCATCATCATCATCATCATCATCATCATCATCATCATCATCATCATCATCATCATCATCATCATCATCATCATCATCATCATCATCATCATCATCATCATCATCATCATCATCATCATCATCATCATCATCATCATCATCATCATCATCATCATCATCATCATCATCATCATCATCATCATCATCATCATCATCATCATCATCATCATCATCATCATCATCATCATCATCATCATCATCATCATCATCATCATCATCATCATCATCATCATCATCATCATCATCATCATCATCATCATCATCATCATCATCATCATCATCATCATCATCATCATCATCATCATCATCATCATCATCATCATCATCATCATCATCATCATCATCATCATCATCATCATCATCATCATCATCATCATCATCATCATCATCATCATCATCATCATCATCATCATCATCATCATCATCATCATCATCATCATCATCATCATCATCATCATCATCATCATCATCATCATCATCATCATCATCATCATCATCATCATCATCATCATCATCATCATCATCATCATCATCATCATCATCATCATCATCATCATCATCATCATCATCATCATCATCATCATCATCATCATCATCATCATCATCATCATCATCATCATCATCATCATCATCATCATCATCATCATCATCATCATCATCATCATCATCATCATCATCATCATCATCATCATCATCATCATCATCATCATCATCATCATCATCATCATCATCATCATCATCATCATCATCATCATCATCATCATCATCATCATCATCATCATCATCATCATCATCATCATCATCATCATCATCATCATCATCATCATCATCATCATCATCATCATCATCATCATCATCATCATCATCATCATCATCATCATCATCATCATCATCATCATCATCATCATCATCATCATCATCATCATCATCATCATCATCATCATCATCATCATCATCATCATCATCATCATCATCATCATCATCATCATCATCATCATCATCATCATCATCATCATCATCATCATCATCATCATCATCATCATCATCATCATCATCATCATCATCATCATCATCATCATCATCATCATCATCATCATCATCATCATCATCATCATCATCATCATCATCATCATCATCATCATCATCATCATCATCATCATCATCATCATCATCATCATCATCATCATCATCATCATCATCATCATCATCATCATCATCATCATCATCATCATCATCATCATCATCATCATCATCATCATCATCATCATCATCATCATCATCATCATCATCATCATCATCATCATCATCATCATCATCATCATCATCATCATCATCATCATCATCATCATCATCATCATCATCATCATCATCATCATCATCATCATCATCATCATCATCATCATCATCATCATCATCATCATCATCATCATCATCATCATCATCATCATCATCATCATCATCATCATCATCATCATCATCATCATCATCATCATCATCATCATCATCATCATCATCATCATCATCATCATCATCATCATCATCATCATCATCATCATCATCATCATCATCATCATCATCATCATCATCATCATCATCATCATCATCATCATCATCATCATCATCATCATCATCATCATCATCATCATCATCATCATCACAGTCTGCACTAAATAAGTACTTGACACTTATGACATCGATCACCACCAATGATCAAGCAATTTTTTAAAGGGGTTTTTCTTTGGTTTCTAGTTCAATCGTTTATCAAATTGTTCAATATTAATAATAATAATAATAATAATAATAATAATAGTAATAATATTGATCAGTGATATTATGATTGATATGTTTGCACTCTTGTAAATGTTTATCTTTATAAACTTAACTTGTACTGACTAATGTGATGGTAATCATTGAGATTTTTTACATTATTGTGTATTAAGTTAGCAACAACAAGTTGAGTTTAAGTTAGCTAAATTATGTTATTTGACTTATATATATCATGATATTTCTTATTCATTCTATTCTATATAGTGTATGCCTTGTACAATTAAAAATTATCAGTATACTCCATATAGTTTTTATATTTTATATGAAGAACTTGGTTCTTAGTTATATGTATAGATACATATATGTGTATTATCCTTAATTCTTTCATAAATAAACAATGTGAATTTTTCTTTCAGTTTTTCTTGTTGATGTGGTTTCAAAAAAATTTGATTATCATATCTTTAAATACAATAATATTGTACAAAAATAAGTGATTTATTACCAATGGACTACTATCAAGTAATATTATAAATCTGGTTTAAATTATAATTAGAGATGAATGATGGTTAGCAGTGGAATTCTGGACTCGTGTTTCGTTCTACTTGAGACTTATCAACTGGATATAACTGTATTCCAGAGTTGATGTCCACTTCAGGACTCGAAGTCAGAACAGTTGATTTCAAACATTACTACGTTATCCACTTAAGGTAATATCGAGGTAATCTACACAGGATATACGTATGTCAATAAGAGACGGATCAATTCTAGTCATAAACATTAATCGAAAGATTCAAAGAATCAGTACATAAATGAACTGGTTTAAATTAGTTTCTTAACTGAAACATTTTTGAGGCCTTATTTCTGACTACACATCAGAATGCTGGATGTTAGAATCACATCGGGCTCACCACTTTTGGTGACTCTTCATTTTGACGTCATTTTTTTACGATTTGTACTATAGAATCGTCAAGTACCACTTAGACAGTCATGATCATTTCAACCTTTCATGTGTAAATTGAGTATTGAAAATCAAAAGTTTGCACACTTTACTCTTCCTCATTTATAATATCCTTAAAAGCATTAAAAATTTATAGCTAAAATATTTTGAGATCTGAATAATCAAGCTTGATTCATTTATACGCTCAGAAAAGAAACAAAGATCTTTCTGGAATCTCCTCTTTGTTCTAAAGAAAAAACCCATTTATCTTCTTCAATATGTTAATGATCTGATTCTGTCTGTCAACTCTTAGTGCATTCACATTTGTTTAGTTGTTTTGTATGGTTAAAATTTAAAAGTGTTTGAAATTATTATGATTTGATTTCGCTATTATAGGTCACATTCAAATTTATCTAATTACTGATTATCAGTAGATTTTCATATCGTTAAAGGAAAATAAAGTTAGACCAATATGTGACTAACATTCTTGTTATACAACAGCTACTTAAATTTACCGACTAACGCCTGTTAATCCCAGTGCAGCATAGGCCACTGACCAGCATTCTACAACCAATCTTGTCATCAGCCTTCCTATCTGGTTCTATCCATTTCTTGTTCAATCTTCTCATGTCTAATCCCATTTCTCGAAGTAATGTGTTCTTTAGTTCCCCTCTTCTCATTCGGCCTTCAGACTTCCAAGAGAGGACTTGCCTTGTGACGCAGTTCGGTGCTTCTCTTAATGTGTGCCCTATCCACTTCCAGCACCTCTTCTTGATTTCTTCCTCCACTGAGATCTGGTTTGTTCTCTCCCACAGTGTCTGGCCAAAGGATAAGAAGTATTTTGTGTAGACAACTGTTAAAAACACTTGTGTCTTCAGGATGATGGTTTTCGTAATTCTCCGAGTTTCCACTTCATACAGTAGAACTGTTTTGACATTTGCATTGAAAATTCTGACCTTGGTGTTGGTTGACAGTTATTTTGAGTTTTAGATGTTCTTCAGTTGTAGATATGCGGCTCTTGCTTTGCCAATCCGAGCTTTCAGATCTACATTAGATCCACCGTGCTCATCAATGATGCTGCCCAAATATGTAAAGGTTCTTACAACTTCCGAATCTTCTCTTTCAAGTGTGATTTCATCGGTGCATGCTGTGTTGTGTTGGAGAATCTTGCTTTTCCGTTTGTGTATGTTGAGACCTACTGCTGCTGAGACTGATGCCACATTGATTGTCTTCTCCTGTATTTGTTGTTGCGTGTGCGATAGAAGAGCCAGATTATCTGCGAAGTACAAATCGTGCAGCTTCATCCTAGCTGTCCACTGTATCCCATGCTTCTCCTCAGATGTTGACGTCTTCATGATGCAGTCTATCATCAGGAGAAAGGGAAAGGGTGAGAGTAAGCAACTTTGCCTGACACAGGTCTTTACTTCGCACGAATCTGTCAACTGTCCTCCATGGATGAACTCCGTATGATAGGGACTGTCTTCTTAGGTACGCCATTGTGTCGAAGAAGCTTCCAGAATGTTGTCTTATCCACGCTATCAAATGCTTTCTCGTAGTCAATAAAGTTGATGTAGAGTAACGAATCTCATTCAATTGGTTGTTCCACAATGATCCTTAGTGTTGCACTTTGGTCTGTACACGATCTATCCTTAGAGAATCCATCCTGTTGGTCTCGAATTTGGGTGTCTACGGAGTCCTTCATTGTTTTTAACAATATCGTGCTGAAGACGTTTCCTGGTATTGAGAGGAGAGTGATGCTCCTGTTTTTATCATTTTTGCTGAGATCGCCTTTCTTTCGTATCTTGATCAGTTGTCTTACACAATAGTTAAGAAAAAAATCTTAATTGTAGTACAGCCGAAATTGATTAGTTTGTTTGTTCGAGGGATTTTTGGTGTTTATTCATTGATAAACTGATGACATCAGTGGAAACAATTAATATCCAGTAATTCTTCATTTATTAGTTGTTTGAATCTTCTCATTGATGTTTAGGACTGCAATTGATCAGTCTACTCATTACACAAGCTAATGACTATTCCGATTCAATAGCTAGATGGATAATGTGTTAAAATTTAAAGCGAACGGTACCGCGTTCGATTCTGAAAGTGAAAATGAACTTTGGGATACAGGTACATCCAGCTACCGAGTCCTAAATAGAACAAAACGTGTATCATAAATTCCACTGTTATCCGCTATCTATCGCTGCTAAAAATACCCGATAAGTTATTCATTCAAGCGTTACATACCGTTAAATTTTTTTGAACGATATCAATTCCAGTTTACCTGCACTAAAAGTTCTTAAGATTGATCGGCTTAACTTCAGTCTTAGAATTTCACTAGGTGCATCTCCTCTGAATTGTAAGCGTATATACAAAAGCTTTTGACTACACTTCTGCTTAACCATACTTAGAGGTGCTCACCAAACCGAATATACAAATTCCTACAACATCTACCAATATAACTCACTTCACAGGAGCATTTGAATTTTAATGCAGGTTATTACAATTAATGTTTTCCACACGTCCAATGATCACTCCGTGGTTAAAAGATTAATTGCCTAAACTAGCCACCTCTTTCTGTATCTATCAATTCAACTGCTCATGTAGAGCACGTAATATTAGCAGATGTTCTAGGAATTTGTATATTCGAGCTCGTGAACACTTCCTAATGTGATTAAGCATACATATAGTCAAAAGCTTCTATATATACACTTACAATATCAATTCATTAAGAAAACTAAACCTTAGCATGTTAATAACTTGATAAATGATTTATATTTTGGGCTGTCAAAATATATACCTTTGGTTACTAGATATTGTCTGGTTTATGTTTTGTTATAAAATAGGAAAATTTTGACATTTCTTGTTAATAATCAAATTAAGAAAGAAATATGGAAATAAACTGAAAAATGTTTCTCAAAATTCCAAATGTGTACTTCTTACGTTTTGAATGATTTGCATTTATGTTTATAATAGTAATGATGATAATAATGATTATCACTTAGTGAACATAGTAACTGGAACAGAATAAGTAAATTTACAAAGATGTTACTTATTTACTTACGCTTGTTAACCCTAATGGAACATAGGCCGCCGACCAACATTCTACAACTCGATCTGTCATGGGCTTTCTTTTCTAGTTCTATCCAATTCTTGTTCAATCTTCTCATGTCTAATCCCATTTCTCGAAGTAATGTGTTCTTTAGTTCCCCTCTTCTCATTCGGCCTTCAGACTTCCAAGAGAGGACTTGCCTTGTGACGCAGTTCGGTGCTTCTCTTAATGTGTGCCCTATCCACTTCCAGCACCTCTTCTTGATTTCTTCCTCCACTGAGATCTGGTTTGTTCTCTCCCACAGTGTCTGGCCAAAGGATAAGAAGTATTTTGTGTAGACAACTGTTAAAAACACTTGTGTCTTCAGGATGATGGTTTTCGTAATTCTCCGAGTTTCCACTTCATACAGTAGAACTGTTTTGACATTTGCATTGAAAATTCTGACCTTGGTGTTGGTTGACAGTTATTTTGAGTTTTAGATGTTCTTCAGTTGTAGATATGCGGCTCTTGCTTTGCCAATCCGAGCTTTCAGATCTACATTAGATCCACCGTGCTCATCAATGATGCTGCCCAAATATGTAAAGGTTTTTACATCTTCAAAAGACGTTACTAACATTAGAAAATTGAAAATCTAAACATTTAAATCTTGAATATTCATTAGAAAGTTAGATAAAGTATAATAGTTGTAAAAACAGGTTACAGTTGAAATGAGATGTAATCAACAAGAATGCTAAAATGGGAGGCACTCTGTTAGGGTTAAAAATTGAGCAGAAATGAAGAGGACAAAGATTATGGCTTTGAAAATGTAGAGGTTAAGAACATGTTAGATGAGGTTGAATAAGTGTCTTTTGTATACATAGTTATAATTGTTCTATTTTGTTTGGCGAAACGTTGAAAATGTTAAGAAAGTGGAGGATCACTATCGTTGAAAAAGATTCTACGTACCATCTAGGTAACTTAAAATCTGATTTGA